AATTAACACTTTTACTTAAACCTATGAAACTTAGCCAAAGGCTTTTCTTAATGACTAATTCACTCAAGCTCCATATTTCAGAATCTTCAGAAAACTCAATGAGAATAATGATATTGTGGATTATCAAATATAAAAAATCCACAATTAGAAACCAGTCAATAGGGGGTATCAAATATGACCAAATCTACCATTCTGTAATTGACAGGTTTTCAAAAATCCAAACCTTTTAAAACATGGTTTTTCTTCATAGGTACCCTCTTAGGACCCATTAATGGGGGGTATAAAATATAACAACTCCACAATTAGAAACCAGTCAATTATTAGAAAATAAATGATAACTTGTGATAGAAATAATAAAATGGGTGAAAGAAATAAAAACAAATTTTGGATATAAGCATCTTATGATAGGAGCAAATCATATTCATTAGTTCCAGAATTATTTTGAATGGACTGAACAAAACAGCTCATAAATGGAAACATTATGTAAGATTTTATGAAATAATGATCAATTAATATGTGAAAAAATACAGATTCTTTAATTTCATATTTTTTATCTGATTTCTCAATGTCAGTGAATAAACCTGAGAAAAAATGCAATAAAAGAGTTGAAATGAAAACCTTTACCCGTAATGAAATATTGCTTCAGTTTTATTCTTAGGAAATTACCAGCAATAATTTTAAGAAAATACATGATAACACCAATGATTCACCCCCAAACAGATTAATTAAATGATTTGAAGGACCAAACTAATTGATGAGTGACTTCAATTGTTGTTTCAACTGAAAGAGATTCTATGTTGGATTGGCCTCTTCATTTCATGTGTATGAACTTTCCCTGAAATATTCAATATTTATGTGGATGGGTAATGTGATTCTTCTTTGGGAATTATAAACAGTATTTGGCCAAAGTCACAATTTTTTTCACAGGTTACATCATGCTATTTGAGAAAAACAAAAAAAGTTCAAATTTCTGAAAATATCAGCAAAATTTCTAATCTAACA